ACGCCAGGCACTTGCTAAAAAATAAAAGCCAAGTGGCAAGTGGCATTCTAGCCGAGCGCCAGGCACTTAAGCAAGATAAGTGGCAGCTGGCACCATAAGCCGAACGCCAGGCACTTGCTAAAAAATGAAAGGCCAAGTGGCAAGTGGCATTCTAGCCGAGCGCCAGGCACTTAAGCAAGATAAATGGCAGCTGGCACCATAAGCCGAACGCCAGGCACTTGCTAAAAAATGAAAAGCCAAGTGGCAAGTGGAATTTTAGTCGAGCGCCAGGCACTTAAGCAAGATAAGTGGCAGCTGGCACCATAAGCCGAACGCCAGGCACTTGATAAAAAATGAAAGGCCAAGTGGCAAGTGGCATTTTAGCCGAGCGCCAGGCACTTAAGCAAGATAAGTGGCAGCTGGCACCATAAGCCGAACGCCAGGCACTTGCCAAAAACACGCACACGACAAAGTTAATATAAAAAAAAAAAAGTATATATATATATTGAAAATGGGTTTGAACAGAGCGTAACACAAAGAAAAAAGAGAAAAAAGAGTTCTGTCATCTCATTCATAATAAGCATTGGAGTTACAAAAAATGAAGTATTCAAGTCACATTGTTACAAAAAAGTATGGAATCGAAGAGTCTGGAGGAGTCCTAGCTAGCTGCCTCAGTACCGACAGCCTCCTGGTTGTGCCGATCCGCCTCCTCGGTCCCGTCAGCCATCTCACCCTCACGAGGTGGGGAATCAAGATGAATAACAGAGTCATTTTGCTGGGAGCCAACGTCAGCAGTGACTATGGGAGATACCACAGTTGACGAATGAGGAGCGGTTAGAGGCTGAACGGTAGGAGGAGCTGTAGTGATCCTAGAGGAAACAATCTCCTGACATTCATCAAATATGTGCTCGGCTTCGGTGGGTTCTGGGTCAACAAAGACCCCCAGAGGATCAATCCCTAAATCCTTATCAATCTCATCTGGAGTTGAGCTGGTCTGTCCCTCAGCCGGAACTCGGTCAGAGAAACCATCTCGGAATCCCTGAGCATATCTAAGAGCTCCGACTCTTGAGAACCGAGCATGAAGAGCCAGCATTCCACCGTTCACTCTGCTGATGGTATCAATCAGAGCATTGCGCTCGTCCAGAGCTCTTTTCTCAAAAGCCATCCGAGCAGACTGTTCATCAGCCAGAAGGCGCTGGAGCTCTGCCTTTTCGTCTCTGATTGAATCACGTTCAGTCTGCCAGACACTCTTCTCAAGCTGGAGGGCATCCTTCTCATCCTGAAGAGAGTCGTTTTCCTTCTTCAGGACATCTCTTTCTTTTTCGGTTTCTTCAAGCCGAGCCAATACCTCGGTATTCTTGCTGGCGAGAAGGTCGTTTTCCTTATTGGCCACCTCCAGGCTATCAGAGAACTTACGGGCCCTGGCGTTCCCTATCTCCACCTGCTTCTGCATAGCCATCATACCGAACAAAGTCTGCATAGATATACATGAATAATGGTTAAACCGATAGCCTGGTCGGACGAAGGCAAGACCAAATAGTATGAGAGGATTCATGAGTTAGAAAATAAAAGTCACCTCCATGGCAGATTGGGGAAAGCGGCTGAACACATCCTTTTGGGATAGACCTTTCGCCGCCTCAAGATCTTTCGGAGTCCACATGCTCCTATAATACGCCATGGCGGTCTGGCCATCCTTTAACATGGTCTCGTTCGGCTTCACGAACGTCCCATCCGTTCGGGTGTACCGAGGAGCCCATGGTGGTAAGACGGGAAGAGAAGGAGAAGCTGAAGCAGAAGCAAAGGCACCAGCTGTAACAGGCCCGGAGGGGGCAGGAGCTCTGACTGGGCGATGCAAGAGAGCACTCGGCCCAGAGACTCGGGTCCTTCTGATAAGAGGTTCCTCCTCAAGGTTGACTCCACCGTCAGGATGAGGCCTTTTGCCTCATTCTTTGTCCCGAGCGCCCCCAGCGGCAGCAGGGGTAGTAGTGATTTGTGAAGACGCGCTCGGGTTGGTAGCAGGGGTGCTGACAACAGGATCAATAGCCACCGTACTCGGGATGGTGTCAGAGATGGTGGCTGAGGAAGAGGCTGATGCAGGAGAGGAGGTTGCTCCAGCAGCAGAAGTGGCTGGGGGAGTATTTTTCCTCCTACCAAAGGATGGAATCTGAAGCCTGCTCATGGTATAGCCGAGGGATGAGAGCGCTAGAAGGTTGTCTGAAGTGAGGAGGTCTGAGCAAGAAGGAATATCGTTCAGAACGTATTTCTTCAAGTAATTACTCCTATCCCTGTAAACACTGTAGCTCAAGTCATCACAAGGTATGCCTAAGGAGCGACATAAGAAAGTACAAAAGCGAGGAACACATGTTTCGCAGGGACAATCGTTTTTATGAGATTTGAATTTCTTATATGAGGAAACAGAACAGACGCCAAAGGCGCTCGGGATTGGGTAATCCTCTGCAGCCGGCGAAGACCAGGCCCCACTAATGCCCACAATGTTATCCCTCCAACCCTTTTCAGATTTGATTGTATCCGTACATATAGACATCTTGTCGATCGGGTAGAGGTGGTAGAATGGCTCGTTAGTTCGGATCTTACTGACCTTATAACACAGAAGAAGATCTATGAGGTCAAGGTCCAGACTTCTGTCACGAATCAACAGTAGCATAACGGATATGATTCTAAAGAAATTGGGGTTTATCTGCAGGGGGGATATCCCCAGTCTATTGAAGACATAATTAAAGAAGGGGTGCAGAGGGAACCTAACGACATTCAGTTGAAGATTTAAAAATAAAACTTCGCCGGGAAGAAGGCCGGCACCAGTCATAATATTAACATCCTTAGGGCAAACCCTAACTTAGATGTTGTCAGGAAGTCTAAGTCTCATACGAAGAACATCTAGATCTACAACCATGGTGGAAGCGATTGAAGGATCTAAAAGGGTAAAAAGAAGCCTGCCGAAAGTAAAAAGGAACAAAACTAACCTCTGAGGTAGAAAGCAACAAAGAGCACTGCAAGATCGCTGGAAGAATGACTCTTGAAGGATTTCACCGGAAGAAATTTAGCACTGTTCTAAAAAGATGAACGAGAGATTTGACTGATGATGGAGACGGTAAAAAGGCATGAAGTGATATTCTAGAGCCTTATAAAGGCGAGGGGGACCCGAGGGCCGAAGCGTCAGGAAGGCGAGAAATTCATCGAGCCCCGGAACATTGATTCCAGATCTGACCGTCCGTTCCCCCATATGGGTTTCTCGAGCCGTCAACGTCATGATGAGACGCCTTCAATAATTACCCCCTTATTAAGGGGGTAATTATGGGGGCAGTTGAGGAGGCCCGAAGTGACATGGGCCGGATATGACCTACAAACGCGACATCCGGTCCATACAGATGGGTCAGGCCCATAGAAAGGCACTGTCATATGGGCCGAACGCGAATAGTCCATCAGAGATGACCAAAACTCATAGAGGAACGGGCCTAGATCCAACAGTCCATCAATATTTGTAAGTATCTATAAATAGGAGAAGTAATGGATAGAGCAGGGGAGATATTTTTTTGGTTGAAATGTAAGAATTCTAGAGAGAGAAAGAAAGGAGGAATTTCTTGCATCTTCAGATACATATACATACACAAAGATATGTGCAATTCTTTTATAACTTTAACTGTATATGTGCACGTGTATGGAAAAATTAAATCTAAGAGAAGACATGGTATATAATAGGAAAGAATGGAAAAAGAGAATTCATGTGGCCCACTTCCATATGGGATGAAGGTAAGGATGATGACGATGATGATGTGTACATTTATTTACTCTCTTTCTATTCATCTTACTAAAATTGGCAGACTAAAAACTTGCAGCTATGTCATCCCTCCCAAGAAATCCTCTCTGCAAGATGGACGAGTGAGATTTGCAAACAAAAAAATGGAATGGTTCGTCACCAATAAAGATTCTGAGAGTGCTAGTAGTAGTGACGCCTATGTGTTAAGCTCAAAAGATAGAATCAGCAGTCCCCACTGCTTCCGTTCCGGTTTCTTTTTCTAGTAGTGGTGCATTCTCTACCAACCATTCTCTCTTTGACCCATTCAGCATGATGTGCAAGAAGTTTTAGGTAGTAGGATACGTACCAAGTTCAGCTTAGAGCTCTGGAAAGGGGGTTATAGAAGCCCCAATGTTGGGTAAATATTACAGTGGACTCTACTTTAAACCTTTAGCAAAGCACAATTAGAGGATGTAATTAGAAGTTTACAGCTTTATGTACAAATCTTATCTTATACTTAAAAGTAGTACCGTGGCCCAATCACACGCACCTTTAAAAATAAATTACAGGAGGGGATTTTTCTGGAGCTTTGGCTTGAAAAAGACGCACTTGAGTAGTTTTCATGTTGATCTTGTCCCAAGAAATCAGCCCCCTTAATACAACGCATACGGATACCACACACACATTTTTTCCCCCTCAACACACTCTTCAGAATTTTGGGTAGGTAATTGATTATTTAATTAGCAACTCGTTGCCACTTAAGTAAGAAGACATAATCATCATTACTAATCTTAATGAGGTAATTTTATTTTGCTGCAATCATATGATACCAGGGAATAATGTCAGCATAAGCAAGATGTTTTAATTCAAGTAAGCTTATCAAAGAAACTTTTCACATTTACTAATTTGCCAGATTTTTGCGTTTCAATGTATAGCTTTCATAACAAATTTCCAGAGCACTCTAGGAAAAGACAAGAACATTTCAGCTGACATTACTGATTCTATTAAGCAAAGCCGAACCTAACACTTCAACATAAGAAACCAACTACAATTCAGTAAACCAAGAGTAGCTCAAACATTTAACTCAACAGAGTTATGGTAGGAAAGAAAACGCAAAAAGGATAGAGAGAATAAAATTTTCAGATGCATCAACAGATCAAAAGGTGCAAACAAAATAAAAATAAAATAAAATAAAGAATAGAACCTAAGATTAGAAAAATGATCATCAATATCATATCAGAGGCAATTGTTGGGAAGAAAAATTTACCTGGTTCAGAGGATTGTCTGGTGATTTCTTCCATAGCTTCCATATCATGTCCTTGTATTGAGTATGAGTGAGACCTGGTTTCTCTTCCTTCAACCTGGGAAGCTCAGCTTCTTCAAAAGCCTAAACAGCCATATGAATCAAATAAATAACTAACACGAGAAGAAATATTACAATACATATCATTTTAGAAAGGCATAATACATCAGTGGGAACTGGGTAGACACACACAAATGAAACGTCAAGAAGTTTATCAACCAACTTGTCAGAAACAGAAATGAAGAAAAGAACTCCTAATTGAACACTTTAGACAAATCTGACAGCTAAGATAAAGATACTCATTGAAAAGAGAAAAAAAAAAAAAAAAACACACACACACACACACACACACACACACACGGAAAAATAATGAAAATTAATGAAGACAACTAAAATCAAAGGAGTGCGGATTATCAGAAAAAAAAAAAAAAAAAAAAAAAAAAACACACACGCACACACACACATGGAAAAATAATGAAAATTAATGAGGACAACTAAAATCAAAGGAGTGCGGATTATCATCATCATCATCCTTGCCTTTTTTCCCACATGAATGGTGTCAGCCACATTAATTATCTTTTACATTCTGTTCTGTTATTTGAAGTCATTTCTAATTACTGCTTTCCATGCTAGTTTATTGACCTCTAGACTATGTTAATCGTAACAATAACAATAAAAAGGCACTGGTTGCAGCAGCGACAGAAGCAACAGTTCGATTCACAGATCCCTAAATGACATTAAATCAAGACATTTTCACATCATTTAATGCCCTCTAGATTATGGTGTTCGGAGTATGTATTCAAGCATCAGAATTATCAAATTCTCAAACATAAAGACACTGAGACACTGCTAAATGTTTATATCATTGAATATTTATATTTTATTTTATAAAGTAAAATAATTTCATTTTATTATATAGTTTTTAATATTTTATTCACTAGTTTTGAAGTAATAATATAATAAAATTAAATCATTACATATGCTTTTTAGGTGTATTTCCAACCAAAAGGGTTAGACACATCTCCCACACCTGTGTCCGAGTATTGTGCCCCCAGCACAGGTACTTCAACTACTTTTAAAGAGTCCATGTAGCATACCTCCAAATGATACCGTGTTTATTGCCCCTTTGTTGAAATGTGCAAGCAAGAGCACCAAATTTATGTTGGAGCAGACCATCAGCTATTATGATCTATCAGGATTATTGTTTATTTGCTAAAATACCCAGACTATAAAAGATTTGCAAAAGGGTAAAATGCAACACCAACAACAAAATATATATGTATATATATAGAATAAAATGACAACAACAACACTTGAATTTTCCCGTATTTGCTAAAAGAACCCTGATTATAAAAGATATGCAAATAACTCCCTTTCCATCATTTAGCTATTAACTTGGTAATAAAATTACATAATTGCCCTTACATTAAATGAAAGAAAATAAATTGAGTTCGAAAAAAAAAAAAAAAAAAGACTTAAAACCTTAGGATGTGGTGTTGGAAATATTCTTTACCCATTTCCCCCTCTTCGAGTCCCTCCTATATTTTCCCAAGGGATTTTGATTCTCTCCAATAATTTTTCTCTTTGAGCATCTCCAAGACTTCATCCGACGATAAAAAAATGTGTCAAGTCGTCATTTCTCTAACCATCCACCATGTTAAGGTTTTATATGTAACTTAATCCAAACAAGATAGTAATGTGGTGTTTTTGTATTCGTCAGATGGAAGCTTGGAGATTAGCAGAGCTCATTAAAAGCTCGGTGCTTATTCGTTCATTAAGTCATGAGCCGAGCTTGAACGCAAGGTCCCGTACCGAGGTGTTAGGCTCACCTGAATTTTTTCCATCAAATTTTGAGCAAAAAATACAGTCTGCTATTTACATGTTAACACAAAAGTATATGATTTTTTTTTTGGTTGGCAAATTGATAGTTCAGGAGCTGTCATTTGCAAAACCAAGAAAGTTCAAAGGAATTTTTTGCTTTCTTTTCCTTTGCTTCTCTCTAGCAGTCTGAAACCTTGACTTAGGGCTCAGGAATAAGACCCAAAGCCACTAGGACAGACAAAGGTATACCAGTATTTTTTTGCATTTTCAGTAAACAAAAACACAAAAATCATTTTTCATTTTCTTCCTCTCTTTTTTTTTTCTTTATTATTATTATTTGGAATATCTCAAGTAAATCATTAATAGACTGTTAGCCCAACAAGTTGCAAATATTGGCGTCTGTAGAAAAATAAATAAATACTTCAACTAGGTTTTGTACCCTGAACACTATCTTCAAAAACCCAACCCTAAAGTCCTAATTCTCCTAATCACATATAGATTCAGAATGTTCAATCAACAAAAACATCATCGCAAAGAAAGTTCGATCAAATCTCACCTTAAATGAAGCCTTTAGCCTCCTCTCCGGATGCTTATCCACCGGCAAGCTATCCGCAACAGCCATCTGCGCAATCGCTTCCTCAACCGTCCGCGCCTCAATAATCGAATCGTCGCGATTGGTATTTGCAACAAGCACCATCTTCTCATACTCCTCCTCGGCGGCGGTCCGACTCTGCTTCTTCTTCGCCTCCTCGGCCTTCTTCAGAATCTGCGCCTGCTCCTCCTCGCGCCGCCGCTGGAGTTCCGCCTCGGTGACCTTGGGGACCGGGATCGACACGCGATTGGCCTTCTTGTCAGGTTTCTTGGCGGCCTTCTCAAGCTCCTTCTCTTCTTGGTCGGCGAGACGGCGAGCCTCGGCTTTGCGGGCGGCGGCCTCCGCTCGCTTCTCGGACTCCTCCTCGCGTTTCTTGGCGGCGCGTGACTTGGAGCCCTCGGCTTCTCGCCAGTATTGTTCCTCTTTCTCTCGAGCCTCTCGCTCTTTCTTGTCGGATTCGGTGGCGGTTTTCCGAGCCCTAGCAGCCTCGGCTTTGCTGTTGACGCCCATTTTCTTCGGCATCTTTTTGCTTTCTCTCTCTTCCCTGATAACTCTCTCGAACGAACGAACGAACGAATGCGATAACTCAGGTCACTTCTCGCCTGAGTTTGTGAATATTCGATCATGTTTCGATTGGGGTGGTTGTATGCATATAAAGAAATGTGATTCGTTAACCAATTGTCCACCACCATTAAGATTGGGTTGGGCTTTTATTAACGGGTTCTAGGGGTACAGAGTGGGCCTGAGTCTATATTTTGACCCCAAAAAAGGGGTGTTAATTTATATTTTGGGCTGTATTTATTTTTCAAATATGAGCTTGATCTCCATGTCTGACCCAATTATGGAACAAGTTTTGCTTGATGTTTGTTAACGAGGACTTAGAAAAGTATGCGAGTGGTGCAACCTTTAACAAAAAATTATGATGGGAGTAATGTAGTGGTGGAGTTTTTTAAAAATTTTAGTGGGGTCAAATTTAAAATTTTATAGATATATAATTTTTTAAAATAAAATTAGTAGGTATACAATATATATATTCGGTTGGTGTGGACTCTAGTTAGGAAGCATGGTCCTATCATTGCTTTCTTTCCAAAAAAGTTCCAAGGCAGGGCCTGTCTCCCGTCCCCATGCCTATTGCCTTGTCTAGTTGTCTTTGCCCTTTGGCCAACTATTGAGGGGCCAACAGTATTCCTTTACAATGGTATGAGATTTTTTTTTTTTTTTTTTTTTTGGAATTTAAAGCAACTAATATTAATAAAAATAAGAATTACAAGGGGGCCAATGGTCAAAACAGCCCAAGGAAAGGGAGACAAGCCCAAACAAGGCCCAAGCAAAGAATGGCCCAAACAACGATACAATCTAATAACTACAATGAACGGCTAATTAGCCGTTAATGGCGGTTGTTAGCGCTCGGTCCGGTGAAACCCTAGCCGAGGATTGTATGAGGTTCTCAAAGTGAGACACGTGGTATTTTATTTTACTATAGTATTAGGGGTTGTCACAATGGTACGAGGGTCTCAGTGTGAGACACGTGTCCATACAAACACTACTTCAAAAACAAAAAGATAATACGAAGTATAAAGTTTTATAAAGTAAAAAAAACACTCATACTACAAATTAGTAATACATTAATGCTGATGTGGATAAAATGAACAAAACTTTTATATAGATAAAAATGTTGTTATATTAGTATTTCATTGTCATATATTTGTGGTGTCAATCTCCTTGAAACAACGGATTGAGAAACAAAAATTGACCTTAAAAATAAAAATTGTTGAACCCCCAAGTCATATGATCGTCTATAACACGTGTCCATTTCCATCCATAGTAATAAACTTGAGTGGATATATTTTTCTAATAAACTCTCTTATTTGGAGGGTTCAAACCAGACTCAAAGGGGGTGTGAGGCAAAATAAATTAAAATAAAAGTCTGGTTTCATTTACATTTGAATTTTCTTTCCACTCTTGGCAATGACTTTATTACCTACTTAAATTTTCATTTAAATTAGATTTCAGTATGAATTCAATCAGACAAATTAATTAAATTCATAAATCTATTTTAGACTTGAGAGGCAATTTTTTTTATTGGATCTGTATTATGTCATACGAGCAACGCAATAACAGGTAAAATATACTTTTGGTTTAATTTCAAACATCCTGCACTAGAACATATTGTTGTACTGATAAGAATTTGAGATCCTCAAACTTATGGGAGCAAAAATTCAATCTTCTAGCTGAGTCGATTACTTTAAAATCTGATACGTTTAACTTCGCATGCATTCTAATGTTTGGTGACATGCTTTAGAGATGCACACATGTGACCTTAACATTTATTATTGCTTTGTACAAATTAGTCTTTTCATGTGATAGGACCTTTTAATTTGTGTAAATCTCAATGAATTTCATCAGTTATTTTTCCGTGAAGGTGGGTTCCGATCATCTTCTAGTTCTTCCTCTTTAGGCGAGGAGTTAGAAAAGTGTTAGGCTTTTCGTTGTGCACCGCTCAACATATTCAAAATAATTTTAGGATAATTCCGTCTAAGTAGAAGCTTGACTTGTATCAAAAAACTGAGTTTGATTATGTTATCAATCAATGTAACTAACTGATTAGATCAATGTAACTAACTGATTAGATAATTGTCAATAATAAAATAATAATAATAATAAATTATTAAATAATATTACATACCTATTTAAGTATAGCGATTTGTCTTTCACATTTATATCTTATGCGAGATAAAATAATTTTTGTTCCCACCTACATCTTTCAGACACTCCTTAAATACATGTCGAATACTTCATATACATGTTCATAAATAAAAAATTAATTTTATTATTTCGGACACTTAACCGACGCTTTTCGGACACTTCGTTAACACTTTCCGAATACTTGGTCGTCACTTATAACATAAGTATACCTACTAATTTTGAAACTAAAATGAATGTATCGAATACTTCATATACATGTTCATAAATAAAAAATTAATTTTATTATTTCGGACACTTAGCCGGCACTTTTCGAACACTTACATTTTCCGAACACTTCGTCGAGAACATAAGTGTACCTACTAATTTTGAAACTAAGATGAATACTATCGTGACAGAATAGTGAAATAGTAGCATATATTACATAAAAATCATTACAATAAAGACATAATTTCATTTTAGAACAATTCTTATTTATTATTATTTTTTTGATAATCGTGGGTGTCCGAGCTAACTTGCGCGCACCTCGACTAATCCCATTAGACCCTGAAGTTAACGATTGGATAAGCCTCTGATGGCCATGCGAAGACTCAAACTAGTGACCATTAGGTAGCAAATCCAAAACTTGACCAGCTAAGCTACTCCGCAGAGTTAGAACAACTCTTATTATAGAATTATAAATAAATTAAAATTTTATAATACTGTTACTAAATAAATATATAAAAATAAATATTTATATTTATATGTAATCATGTCCACATCATATTTAGTATCGGCATCATATTATATTTGTATCTGTATTCGTACTACATAGATTATAACCAAAAAAAAAAACTTAACTATGTTGAAACTTGTCAAAATATACATTGAAACTTGTAAAAATATATATTGAAACAACGATGATGACATACCGGGGGTCACTAATTAATGCCTCGAAGCATACCGTGGGGCATCCTTAAATATAATTCCGGAAGTTTATGCGTTAATTGATGTGGAATTTGGAAGGTGCGGGCGTCATTGGTTTGAAGTTGCATGTGAATCAACAGAGTAACATCGCTAGCTGTGTCTGATAAATAAATAAATAGTATTTGAGGGGATTGTCAGTTCTTTAATCCCTATGAATTCAGTCATTAATTAACTTCAAATATTCAGTTGACTAGCTAGATTAGAAGTAATTATGAGGGTCACCATTTCATTATCCCGCGTGCTTCCATAATATTACATGGCCCAATTATAAAATGGTGGCGGTCCGTCATCACTCATTTCGGAAGACCGACGAAGTTGCCATTTTCATTTGTAGTGCATTGATGATGTATGAGATCAATCAATGTAATATTAAATATCCACAATCGCATGTTTGTTTAGTTGAAATTCTAAACTTTTGATTAATGTATTTTTTTTACTTATATAAAATTTTAAAATATAAGTTTTCACCTTTTAAATTTTTTTCCTCTATCTCCTCTGGTGCGAATATAATTTTCATTCTTTCCTTTGTAATTCATTTTCCCATCTCCTCTCTAAATTCATATTCGTTAATGATTGAGAGAGAAAAATAAATCCTTATTTGAAAAGATTCTTCCCATTCCTTATATATATAAAAATATTTTTCTTCATTTATTTTTCTTTTCAACTGGCTTATATTACTTTTTTTTATTCAATATGGTTATATATATATAACCATATATATATTTTTATTCAACTGCCTTATATATATATATATTTTTTCCCTTGATGTGAAACATTGAAAGAGAGACGAGAATGGTTGGAAATTGAATCCCCGTAATATGGTTATATATATATATATGTGTGTGTGCACACACATAAAGAATGGAAACAATTGGGGGAAAAGGAAAAAGGGAAGAATCTTTAGAGTGGGAAAAAAAAAGGGTAAAAAACAGTTTAAAGGAAATATAAAGATTATATATATATACAAAAAAAGGACAATTATAAAGGAATAATAAAGATTATATAAAGAGGAAATAATTTTAAAAGGTAATTTAGTCCTCAAAATTTATGTTTGAAAGTTCCATAAAAGTAGGAAAGACACATTAGTTGATACTATGACTTTCTTGATTGGTATTTCAACCAATAAGAGCTATGATTGCCCTAACACTCTTTTAAAATATATATATTATTAAAATTAATTTTAACTCATATGTAATAACTATTTGGCATAATAAAATACAATTTGTAAACAATATTAATACAGTTGGTTAAAATTAAATTTTAACCAATTTCAATTCAAAAGCACGTGTTTTATGTCTTTTTTTTTTTCCGGATAATAAAGCAAATAAGCATGTGTTTTATGTTGTTAAACGCAAGATGTATTAGTATGGTTTTGGACAAGTCCATTATTCCCTCTTAATTGGAATGCCTTTAGTCATTTTTTGTTTTCAGATTCAGAAGATTTAACCAACCTATAAAAAATTGTATTTTACACGTGTTAAATCCGTCCCAAAATTACAAGTCTACACACGAAGTAATAATAGTAATAATATATATATATATATATATAGCACCTTTTTTTTTTTTTTTTTTTACCAATATATTTAGACTTCAAAGGGTAACTTGATAATTTTAAATTAATCACTCCACCCTCTTTTTTTTTTTTTTAAATGTGAATGACAGAAAAATTCATAAGCTAATTAAAATATCACAGTATCATCCCTTATTTTATTATTCCCTTCATCCCAATTTAAGCGTGGTTTATGGGGAGAAATAATTTTTATGGGGACATGTGGGACATGCATTGTCTGTGGAAAATTAATAACTTGTCATTTTAAGTTTAAAATATTCAAGTTTGAAATTTTAAATTTAAAGGACGTATATAGAAAGATATGAAATATATTGTTTGAAAAATAAAAGTTAACTATTATTTTGGAATAGACAAAAAAGAAAAGCTTGATACTTATTTTGAAAGAGAGGGAACATACCATAACTATCCTTTGCATTATAAGCTCTATTAGTAATTTTACTTGCAATATTAAATGCACTAACTAATTTTAGATAAAATTACCATTTATCGTCATCTTTTCAGTCATTTTCTTTCTATATCAATTATTTCCTCTCATCGTCGTCTCCTTCACCCTTTTTCTTTCTATGTAAGTTATTCCTCTATGCAATATTGTTTTTACTAAAAATTATTATTTCTATAAAGGGTAATGATAATTACACCAAAAGAATTATATAAAATTGCTAGACTTACTATATTTGATTGATCAATGCACGATAAATATAAGAAAATAAGGCCATTCGCTTACTTGTCTAATGCATTAATGACCATATTGTAGGCATATAAATTTTACTATATTTCTAATTAGTTAGACAAAATTGCTAAACATAGTATCTTTAATTGATCAATACTTGACAAATAAGAAAATGAGACAGTTTCTTATTTAATGCATTAACGACAAATATAACAATTCTTCCTAACTAAACAGGTGCAAGTATTATATTTATCAGATTAAAACTCTGTAGATAGAAATATTGCTTTCCCCAAGACAAAGCTTATTATAAACAAATGGGCCTACGTCGCAAAGTACCCGACCGGCCGACCTAGTGGATCAGCCCCTAGGCCCATCACGTGCACTACAGTGTTTCATCATACATAAACCCAATAGTTTATAACGCAACCCTACTTACATCAATCATGTGGACTTGGGTCCCACAATCCAGCAGTCCAGATTCACTGCTGCTCCTAATTTAGAGCGTCTTGAACGGTTTAGATCATCAACGACTTGCCTTCGCCCGGTCAATATTCTAATCCAGATATTCACTTACAACCATCTGATCTTTCTTGATCTCATGACGTAGAAAATCTTCCCTTAATAAGATCTATCAAGCTCAGTAATGGTGTGTATATCGTACCACACATCATCATCAAAGCTTATAATGGAAATTACTCACGTGAACAGCCGCTACAGGGTCAAAATAGACATTTCAACAACTTGCAGCATTAATTGAGACCCAACATTATTTTCTGATCCAACGGTTCGGAAAGCGAGCTCACTTTTATTGCCGTGGGAACACCCGCTGCGTAATCTTTTCCCTTCCATCATTCACACGCGATTCCCTGCAGATTTTTTTACTAATCAACGGCCTTACTTGTATTATCATTAGGGACCCACTTTCCACGTCATCAATTTGACGACGTGGCAAAATGAGACACCAATTTGATTGGAAGATGAAAAGGTATTATGATAAGCACTGTTGTTACGGAACAAAATTCTGCATACGCCGTCTGCTTTTGCTTTTTGCAGTCTCAGACTATATGAGCACTGTCATATAGAGAGGGAAAGTATGTTTTAGAGAGAGAGAGAGGGGGGGAGAACTGAAAGAGTACGCTCGGAGTAAACCTGTCTTGCTTTTGCCTGCTTTCACTTTATCACTTCCCACAACCACCACCACCACGACGGACCACCAACTTCACCGCCATATCTTCAAATTCACAGACCACGCGAAGCATAGTGACAAAATGTACACCTTAGATCTCTGTTTCTACCACTAATTTAACATTGGGGCAGTTTTGATTATCATCTATGGGGAGTGTTTCGTCAGAAGAGGGCTACGATCAGCAGAGTGAGCGCTGTGGAAGCTATAGCTTGAGTGCCGATGTGAGCGAGTCGGAGAGTTCGAGTAGTTTTCCGTGTCGGCTGTACGACGACGAAGGGGTGTCGAGTTCCTTGACGTCGTCTCCACTCTCTTTCCGTCCGATTATTGGAAATTCCGGTCTTCCGGTGACCTCGCAACAGTCGTTGATGTCGCCGGTGATTGGTGGGAAAGGTGTGATGGTTTGGGAGGAAAAACCTGAGAAAAGGGAGGCTAATTTATCCGGTAAGCACATTGTATTTATATGTTTTAATTTAACTACATTTTTTCTAAATTTTGTGCTGTATTTATAAATTCATGTTACCGGCTTAGTTTCAGTTAACGAATAGATCTCGATTTGCACTATTTGACTACTAATTTGCACATGCTTTTGCTTATCCATATATATACACACAAACATGTTATGTTGTTAAATTTTGCCCTTATTTTTCATGGATTTGCAGAAGGTGAGATGATGAAGGAAAGATTTGCTAAGCTTCTTCTAGGGGAAGACATGTCTGGAGGGGGTAAAGGAGTTTGTACTGCCCTTGCAGTCTCAAACGCTATAACAAATCTCTCTGGTCAGTAGTCAAGTTTTATTTTGTCTCTACATGTCTGTATATGTATCTTGTATCTTGTTTTGTTGAAGTGTATCTTCTTGTTTGGAAAATTAGCTACTGTATTTGGGGAACTGTGGAGGTTGGAGCCATTAGCACCACAGAAGGAGGCAATGTGGCGCCGAGAGATGGAATGGCTGTTATGCGTGAGTGATTCGATTGTGGAACTCGTGCCTTCCATACAGCAATTTCCCGAGGGAGGCACATACGAAGTCATGGCGACTCGGCCGAGGTCAGACTTATATATGAATCTCCCTGCCCTCAAGAAGCTTGATGCTATGTTAATTGGTATCCTTGATGGTTTCCAAGATACGGAATTTTGGTATGTTGATGGTGGGCTAATTGTTGCTGAGGCCAAAGATTGTGATGGGTTTCCTTCATCTGGTAGGCCTTCAATTAGGCAGGAAGAGAAGTGGTGGCTCCCATGCCCGAAAGTTCCTCCAAATGGGTTGTCAGAGGACACTAGGAAGAGATTACAGCAGTGCAGGGACTGCACGAACCAGATATTGAAGGCGGCCATGGCGATAAATAGTAGTGTGCTTGATGAGATGGAGATTCCGAGTGCCTACTTGGAGACATTGCCCAAGGTAAGGATCTTGTCTATTTTTAGAGTTTATGCATGTGGTCCATGTTAGGTTTGCACTACTATATGTCTACAATTACTGCATTGAATGTAAATTATCTTGCAAGTTGTCATTTAAGTGATCTTTCAATTATGGAAACCTTTGGTTTGATTTCTTTTCCTCCTTTCCTTACATTTTGCTAGGAGACCTCCCTCTTAATTTTAGCACATCACATTTCTTTCGGTTTTTGGTAGGCCTTATGTGACTCATGTTACATATTTGATTGTGTCTGAGATGTGTTTGCTCCTAGAAACATTAAAGAGCTTGCAGTTTGTTGTTCATGTGATTTTTTAGTTTCAAAGACCTTTCGTTTGATTAACACTTCTTTTCCCCTTTTGCTGTTGTATTTAACCGTTTCGGGGGCATGGTGCACTGTTTTGCTATAACTCCCTTTCAATTTTACTTCTACACATTTTTCTCGCCAATGGGTTTTATCTTTTCAATCTGATGTATATCCATTTTAATGGCTTTTATTTATTTATTATTTTTTAATATTCTAGGGGTCGGTTGAGGTTGAGGGGATCGATTAAGTTTAATCCTTTCTTTGATTATCAATTGGACATAGATGCCTGTTTTGGCAAAAACTGTTGAGAGTGTCTTAAATTGTATAAGAAAATAAGATAATAATCAAGGAAAAGGCTATGTGTGCTCAAATCATTTCTTGGGTTGTTGTTGCTTAGTCTGGGATTGCTTGATCCATTTTATTTTAGGTTTTGAAGTTTCAGCCAACGTAGTCTCCATGCTGCTGCATTTGAGTTGCAGTATGAAGCAAAAAGGATAACTGTGACCTCGGTCTAGTAGTCCACTATTATACTATTCAAAATTAATAGTGAAGAAGTGCAAGTCTTATTATGCCATATTTGATATAATCAATACGAGAAGTTCTGCAGCGGCATTGCAACTACTCTCCCTATTGATTCACTCCAGGATAAGAGAGAAATTCCATTTTATTAGAAACATAAATGATGTAGCTTGAAAATATATGAACCAATGCATTCTTATACACTCGTTTCTTCGTTTTAGCTATGGAGAATTACATTTAGATGTGTGATGATGACCAATTGTGTGATGATGACCAATTAATTGATAATAGCAGTAGGATGTTTTACACTACATGACATATATTACAGTTCACACAAAGATATACATTACTAATAAATAGTTATTTAAGTAAATGGGATTTAATTTGGCATGAGCCATTGCCAATTCTCAACATTCATTGACTGTTATTCCTTTTTATAAGGTGGAAGAGATGAAAGAGGATACTGGTATAGAAATAAAGCAAGATGTTGCAGGATTACACGTGGAATTATTAAATTCTTATCATACCTGGAAAACTATTCATGTATGGGATCTTATTTAATCAGGACACATGTTTATTAATTTAGCGTGGTTGTGACTCTGATTTTAATTTGATGGAGTGCTAGACAAGAAGATCAAATTCATAATTTGGAATTTTGGAGTGATATCAAATAAAGACCAGATAAGAGTAAAAAACAATCTGTTTTTGCTGTAACTCCCTCTCAGTGTCAGTGGAGTCCATGCTGCATTTGAGTTGCAGTATGTGGCAACATGGGCTATAGACTGAGGCAACTCCACCAAAGTGGATTGCTATAAGTGGCCTCTGATCTGTGAAACACGGATTATTACTCAGCCACACGACTTGTCTAGTATATTTAGTGGCATTATTCCATTAGTTCTTCCTTCTGTCTCTCAATAAACAATGTCATTATAAAATTTCTAGCGAACCATTTTAAAGAATCTAGCAGGATAACTGTGACCTCACTCTAGTAGACCATTATTATGCCATTCAAAATTAATAGAGAATAAGTACAATTCTTCAAAATTAATAGAGAGAGAAGTACAATTCTTACTCTTCCATATATTGGTATTATCAACACAAGGAGTTACCGTAGGGGCATTGCAACTACTCTGCCTACTGATTTTTCTCCAGGAGAGTAGAGAAATTCTATTTTGCTATAAACATAAATGATGTAGATTGAAATTGTATGCATCAATGCATTCTTTTACGCTTGTTTCTTCATTTTGGCTATGGAAGTACATTTAGATGTGTGATGATGATCAATTAATTGATAATAGCTGGAAGATGTTTTCGGAAGCACTACATAACATATATTAGAATGCACACACAGAGTTAACATAGTACTTTTGCTTAACTGTGGTTGTCAATGATGTATACTCATGAATGCTAAATACTTTTCAGCTGATATTCTAAGCTCTAAACAATTATTCATTATATTGTTTGAATAAATACTTGCATTCATACGGTTAATTTATTCTTATGATATGCCTCCCCCTCCCGTTCATAATGATGTCATGCTTGCCTTTGGTACTCCTATTTGTGTTCCATAATCCATTTGCCATTGCAGAGTGGCAAAGCTTGTCTAGGCGATATAATCTATCACTACATAACTGCTGATCAGTTCTCTCCAGAAAGTATCCTTGATTGCCTAGATCTATCATCAGAGCATCAAACTCTGGAAGTAGCAAACAGAATTGAGGCAGCTGTGCATGTGTGGAAACAGAAAGACAGGAAGAGATGTACAAATCACCTGAAGGCTAAACATTCATCATGGAGTGGCAAGGTCAAAGGCCTTGTTGCTCATGGCCAAAAGAATCATTTTCTGGGTGAAAGAGCTGAGACCCTCTTAAATTGGCTGAGATTTCGATTCCCAGGTCTTCCGCAAACTGCATTGGATATGAACAAAATTCAATACAATAAGGTATCTTTCCTAGCTCGTCCTCAGATTTTAGCTACCAGAAGTATTACACTGTTGGGATATATTCGGTACACACTAGCCTTTTTTTAGGTATTATTTTTTTTCTTCTTTTGGTTATCTTTCCTAATATTTCACTTGGTGGATATTGGGTCTGAAAATTATAACTGACTTAGGACACTAGTGGTTAAATTATGTGAAAATTCAATGCACCTTCTTACCATCACAATCTTTCCATTGAACAACCAAGAATATCAGACATCTCTGATTTAGATGGGCTGCAAATAGTTGAAAAGCTATGCAAATTACATTGTTTCAACCATTATTTTCTTGGTTTATAATAGTTGGAACATTTTTGGTGGCTTTATGGGATGAATTACAAAATGAATGTAATCTTCTTTATTAGGAAAAAGGAGATGTAGTTTCTCTAATTAGATGATCAGTTCGTGAAGGTTTAGTATTTGTGATGATTTAAGGTGTCATCCAACAAGAACAGATCACTTCATCTTTCATTTTTTATTTGGTAATTTTTGTCTGCATCCTATTTTGCAACTCTCACCATACCTTTTTTTTTTTTGGGTTACAGGATGTGGGGCAGTCTATTCTTGAAAGCTATTCAAGAGTAATGGAGAGCCTGGCCTTTAACATAAGGGCCAGGATTGAAGATGTCCTTTATGTAGATGATGCCACCAAGCAATGTGCTGCAGCAGAATTGAAGTCCTTCTTCCGTAGGGGAAGTTTGGATGGTCTTCCTATCCAAAAACGAATTTCACCTAGCCCCTTCTCGATTCAACACACCCCTTATAGCTCTCCATTTGCAACACCGACTTTCTGCGCATCCCCTCCCATGGGCAGAACCCCAGAGAGGGTCCCCTCTCCTTTAAACTTTTGCAGACTTGAAAAAAAATTGGAAAAATCAATACCAGCCGACTTCGAGAAGCTGTGGTCCTATGCTGGGAGCCTCAGTGCCAGAAAGACTATTGGTGGGGATGCTCCTGAGCGCGATTGAGCAAAGTGAGTCATATCAAGGAAGTTGCTTACATAGGCTTTAGATCCCTCTGGATTTTGTTGTGGTGGTAAAAATAGGATGGTGTTATTGATCTTGTATATTTGTTTAGCAAATAGGATATCATGGTTGAAAGTTATTAGTTGCTAGATGGAGAAAGAGAATTATGTTATTGATGTATTGAAAAATCTTTCCCCTTTATCTCGAAGTGGGCATTTTTGTTGAACCCTGGGAAACATGGTCTAAAGAATTTTAAACTCTACTGTATAAAAAACAATGAAAAGCTATCAGGAGGCACACGAGCCTTGGCACGGTCAAATGCTTGGTTGCCAACTTAATTTTGGGTTCATCTACTATATAATATGCGGTGCATATCCATTAGTTGTAGGCCAAAACTCTTGCTGCAATGGACAATCTCCCTTTTTTATCACATAGGTACGGTGGTTAGAACTTTTTGATCATGTTGCCTTAAATACTCTTATTAATGAAATGGTGATTGTTAAACCTTCTAGAGGCTGTGCTACATTGTTGTGCCAATCTAATGGAGTCATGCCTAGGATCAAAGCAGTAATCAGTCTACCGTTGTCGGGCGCGCTATCAATTTCATTCCCTTTCTTTTTATCTTTTTTATTATTGTTTATATATATCTATTATACACTATTCAAAGTGTAAGGAATTTCTTAACACTTCTGATTTTTTTTTTTTTTTTTTTCTCCACATAAAAAGAGTTCATTAATTGATATAAAAATAATAATAAATAAAATCTATATCTATACTATTCTAAAAGTGTAAGGAATTTCTTAATACTTTCGCTTTCGATTTTGATTTTGATTTTTTTTTTCACATAAAAAGAGTAAATTAATAGATATATAAAAAAAAAAAAAAAAAAATATATATATCTATATCTATATTAGGGGTGGCAAAAGTTGACACGACTCTCCAACATGACTTGAACGCGGCACGAGTTAAATGGATTTGAGTTAACCTTAAACGGGTTCGTGTCATAAACGGGTCGACACGATTAACCCGTTCGTTTAGTTAATAATGTCGTATTTGGGTTGAGGGATTCAATCCGTGTAACCTGTTTATACACGTTTAACTATATATGTCGTAAATAAATTTCTATTTAAGTTATAAAATTACTATATAAATTTGTGTCCTATAATTTAATCTTTTGTAAACTAGAAACTATTTAGTAATTTGATTGATTAAAACTTATATTTTTTTTTAGTATTTATTATTTTATTGAGTATTATTAATAATTTAAATAATATTATATATACGTATATATATTTTTGTAAATAGGTCATTAAACGGGTTACACGTGTAATCCGTTTAATAAATAAGTTGGGTTAGTGTTGAGAGTTCATGATACGACTATTAAATGGATTGTGTTTGGGTTGAGCTGTTTAGTATAATACCCTTAAATTGACACGACACGATTACGACCCCCGAACACAAATTAACACCCCTAATCTATATCTATATCTATATCTATATCTATCTAGACTATTCTAAAAGTGTGAGGAATTGCTTAACACTTTCGATTTTTTTTTTTTTTTCCCACATAAAAAGAGTTCATTAATTGATATATATAAAAAAAGAAAATAAAATATATATAACAAAAAGAAAGCAACTAATTTGGCAAACATTAGTATTTATAATTACTGAAACAGTGTAAGGAATTTCTTAATTTTTTTATTTTTTATTTTTTATTTTTACATAAAAAGAGTTCATTAATCTATAATAATTCATACCACACATGAACATTAATTCCAATAATAATAATAAAAAAAGGCACGTCCCACACATAAATATATACACGCGTATGTAATTAGTGAAAAACTTTTCTTCTTCCTTAAATAGAAAACTGATAATGTGTTTAACCATTTATTTATCTCTTTTAAATAACAATTTATTTTAGTTAATCATTATTTTAAGAAATTTTTTTGTTAAAAATGCATATTCACGACATACATATCTAATGCTATTCAAAATTAAAGTGTAAGGAATTTCTTAACCCTTTTAATTTTTTTTTTTTCACATAAAAAGATTTCATTAATCTATAATAATTCGTACCGCACATGAACATTAATTCAAAAAAAAAAAAAAAAAAATAGCACGTCCCACATATAAATATATACATTTATATTTAATTAGTGAAAAACTTTTATTCTTACTTAAATAGAAAACTGATAATGTGTTTAAACTTTTATTTATCTGTTTTAAATAGCAATTTATTTTAGTTAATCATTATTTTATTATTTTAGGAATTTTTTTTTGTTAAAATAAAAATTCAAGACATATATATCCATATATAGCAAGATTATAACATAGAATGATAAAAATTAAAAAAATATGATATAAAAAAAACGAAAAGAAAATATATATAACAAAAAGAAAGCAAGTAAATTTGGTAAACAATAGTGTTTATAATTTTTTTGAAATTTCTTAACACTTTTGATTTTTTTTTCTTTTTTCTTTTTTCACATAAAAGAGTTCATTAATCTATAATAATTCAAACTGCGAACATTAATTCAAAAAAAAAAAAAAAAATAGAACGTCCCACATATAAATATATACATGCATATTTAATTAGTGAAATTTTTTTCCTCTTCCTTAAATAGAAAACTGATAATGTGTTTTAATTTTTATTTATCCCTTTTAAATAGCAATTTATTTTAGTTAATCATGAAATTAATTGTATCAGTTTCTAAACGTATATACCATATCCCACATATAAACCTATACATGCATATCTAATTAGTGAAAAACTCTTCCTCTTCTTTAAATAGAAATTAAAAATTTAAACTTTTATTTATCTGTTTTAAATAGCAATTTATTTTAGTTAATCATTATTTTATTATTTTAAGAATTTCTTTTGTTAAAATACATATTCACGACATCTATATCTATCTATCTGTTTTAAATACATACTCATGACATATATATGTGTGTGTGTCTATATATATATATATATATATATATATATATATATATATATATAATGTTAAGAAATTTCTTTAACATATATATATATATATTTACTTTCATAAAATGTCTCATTGAATATAGCTCATTTACATTAACGTGCCGAATAAGAGTATAATTAAAGGTTAATTTTAGTTTATATCATCTATTCTATATATATATATATATTTACATACTATTCTAATGAAAAAAGTTTATACTCAGTATTATAAGTAAATTAAAAAGGCTGGGGGTTGAATAGGGAACGGTTACAACTTTTAAATTGCCCAAGAGTTACATATAATATACTCTGCTACATTATATATATAAATATAAACTATTCTCATGTTTTGGGTAAATCTAATCACTAGACGCATCTATATTACATGCCCTTAAACACCCTGGGAGAAAAAACAAAAAAAATCCTATGAAACTGGCCTCGGGAAGTGACATCTATCACTACTTGAGATTATGTTTGGCAGAAACTGCAATTGTGTATAATAATGGATTAAGTATCACATGAAACTTGTCTTTGCTTGTGTTCAATCCAATTGATGGGCTGGTCTCTGCAGTTGGAACGCCCAACTAGGAAATAGAAATGTTTTATTTAACCATTTCTTATTCCCACTTGTGAGCTCCACTTTCCTTATGCTCACCTATTTCTACTTATATATTGGAAGCTTCACCTTCATTACCACACCACACATTACCAAAATTATACTAGGATATTCACTCCAAATTTTGAGTGTGCACACTAGAGATTGAAAGATGGAAGGAGAAACAACAAAAGAAGCAACAAGTAGAGAGGAGGAAGAAGAATCACAAGCCCAAGTGGAGATGTGGAAATATGTATTTGGCTTTGTTGATATGGCAGTGGTGAAGTGTGCCATTGAGCTTGGGATAGCTGATGTCTTGGAAAACCATGGCGGCCCCATGATAGTCTCTGAGCTATCTTCCACCCTCGGATGCTCTCCCTATGCCCTACACCGCATCATGAGGTTCTTGGTGCACCGCGGCATATTCAAAGAAGATTCCAAGACCCAAGCTGGTACCATTGCTTATGTTCAAACACCGCTTTCTCGCCTTCTCATGAGACATGGCAAAAATAGCATGGCTGCTTTTGTGTTGCTAGAGAGCAGCCCAGTGATGCTCGCACCGTGGCATGGTCTCAGTGCTCGTGTCCTATCCAATGGATCCTCTGCATTTGAGGCTGCTCATGGTGAGGATGTATGGCGCTATGCAGCTGCAAACCCTGCCCACAGCAAGCTCATTGATGATGCAATGGCTTGTGATGCTAGAGTGGCTGTGCCAGCAATAATTGATGGTTGTCCTGAATTATTAGATGGGTTGGACTCTTTGGTTGATGTAGGAGGGGGTGATGGAACCGCTCTGCGCATGTTGGTGAAGGCCTTTCCTTGGATTCATGGCATTAACTTTGATCTTCCTCATGTTGTGTCTGCTGCACCTAACTGTGTTGGTGTCAAACACATTGGAGGTGACATGTTTGAAAGTGTGCCAAAGGCCGATGCTGCTTTCCTCATGGTTAGTATTCTAAAAACTTAAAATTTGAATTCCCTTATCTTGAGGCCAATTTTACTATGACGTTACCTAGAGGGAGAGATTGTTGGCACTTATATATATACGTAGACATTTCCTAATTGTAAATCATGACATTTACTTTTGATTTTCTTGGAAAATCCCGAGTCATGTCCATTTTCTTTTGTTTATTAAACTCTGCATCTTTTGAATGGTAGTGGGTTCTGCATGATTGGGGAGATGAAGAATGCATTAATATCTTGAGAAAGTGTAGAGAAGCTATTCCAAATGACAAAGGGAAGGTGATTATCGTAGAAGCCGTGATTGAAGAAGATGAAGGAGATAAGCTCAAGTATGTGAGATTGATGCTGGACATGGTGATGATGGCTCATACAAACAAGGGGAAAGAAAGGACTCTCAAGGAATGGGCATATGTACTAGGCCAAGCAGGGTTCAATCGACACAATGTGACGCGCATTCAAGCTGTTCAGTCCATTATTGAGGCTTATCCTTGATTTATATAGTTTTTAATTGCTTCTATGTTTGGTCAGCAAATTGATGCATGAATAGTGCAGCTTTACAATTACAGCACTGTCTCTGTTTGGTTTTACTTATTTGACATTTCTTTTAGTAAGATAATAAAGGGTGAGAAATGAAGTTGCAAAATGAGGTTTCAATTTGCCTTTAAACCCATATTATTTTGTGATTATGATTGGATAACAAGTACTGGAAGTTGCAAAATTAGGTTTGATTTGTCCTTAAACCTACTAGTATTTTAGTTAGTATGATTTAATCTTTCACTTTGCAGTTCAA